TGAACTGAAGCCGACATGTTTTGCACAAGTGTTGCGAAATAGTTTTATTGAAGAGAACTCTTAATTTGGCTTACAATGGCAGGTATATTGATTTTAGATTGTCAGCTCTTGAATGGGTAGAGTTTCAATTGGACTGTCTCTTTTTTAAATCCTGTTTTGTACACTGCCTTGAGTTCACTTGAGAGAAGAAAGGCAGTACAGAAACATTCTAATAAATACATTAAAGATGTGGGAGAAGTGAAGCTCTTATTATTTCTCGTTAACCCACACGATCTCATTAACCAGGGTGGCATAGTGTTTAGTTTGTCAAAGTAAGACACAGGCAATCCTGGGTTCAGCTCCCTATTTCTTCCATGAAACAAATTGGGTGCTCTCGGTCCAGTCATTCCCTCTCAGGCCAGTCTACCTCACCAGGTTGTTTGTGAGGGTAAAGGAGAAATGCGTACTGAACTCCTTGGATGAAGGGTGCTGAAAAATGTGGTAGACAGACTGTTCTTGCGAATATCAAACAACTTCTGTTTGAATTCTTAACCTGCTATTTGAGTGTTATACTGGATTGGGGATGGTGACGATACTTAAATATTGCATTTGTTGGACTTTTTCATGCTTTTCAATGGGCAAATTTACTCGGGCCTGTATGTAAAATCTGTTTCCAAAGTATTTCCCATTATATCCCCCCCCGGCACACATGCCATTGCTATGAAAATAAATTTGAAAAGATGGAAGATCTGATCCTCAATCCCAAATGTCTTTTCGCACACAGAAACCGATAAATTTCAGGGCAAGACCTTTTTTTTGCTGGCAAGTTGCAGCTGACTTATGGCAATCCCATAGGCTTTTCAAGGCAAGAGATGTCTGGAGGTGGTTTGCCATGGCCTGCCTCTGCATCATGACCCTGGACTTCCACGGAGGTCTCCCATCCAAATATGTACCAAGACCAAACCTGCTTAGCTTCCAGAGTCCGACAAGACTGGGCTAACCTGGGCTATGCAGGGCAGGACAGGGAGAGACTCATACCTTAAAACATGAATCAGGCATATGCAATCACTTCTCTTACAGATTGAAAGCATTGCCTATGTAAAAGGTAATTCAGAGCCTTTGTTAAAAAGTGAGGGGTTTTTTTAAAGGGGAAAAACTACTCCGGCATAGAGGTGGGTTCGTGACGTTGCTGGTCCCCAGTCAATCAGCATGGTGTGTGTGGCTGGTCTTGGCAGCAAACTAGCAGGTTTCTGCTGTCAATCCAGAAGAGAAAGTTGAACATTTCATTACAGTATAGTGAGGGTGCTTCCATAGTGCAGCGAGTTGACTGTTTTTACGTACAGGTGTGTACAGATGTACCAGCAAGCAGGGTAAATTCTGCTTTCCATAAACATTCCGCCTTAAATGATACATGTACAGCCTCCAGATCCAATGCTGATTCCTTTTTCCTCCCCATCCCTCCCTCCTATGTTTCAGGCAGGCTGTCTACTTTTTCCCTGAAGCGCTTTGCATGTCTAACTGATAAAAGGGCTAAGAGAGCCAGTTTGGTGTAGTGGTTAAGTGTGCTGACTCTAATCTGGGAGAACTAGGTTTGATTCCCCACTCCTCCACATGCAGCTGCTGGATGACCTGGGGCAAGCCATAGTTCTCTGAGCTGTTCTGAAAAGAGCAGCTGTCAAAAGAGCTCTCTCAGCTGCACCTACCTCACAGGGTGTCTGCTGTGGGGAGGGGAAGGGAAAGGAGTTTGTAAGCCGCTCTGAGACTCCAAGTGAAGGGCAGGGTACAAATCCAATCTCTTCTCTCTTCTTCTAAAACCACTTTAGCCATTTATATAGTTGTTGTTGTTTTTTTACTTTTGAGAAACTGCTCCTAGAAGGATGGGAGGTAGCTTTGTGATTAGCACAAGGCCTAGCCAATCAGGACTGTCCAAGCCTTACTCATGCTGCAGACCAGAAGACTACAATTTCCTCACTGTCAATATGGAGGGGAAAAACGTATACGTGTCCAAAATGTGGTGACGACACTTTTGGAGTGGCCTCACTGTTAAAACAATGCCCATCTATATACACTGTGCATCTAGACTCTCCCTCAGTGGACTGAAGCGAGTCTAAATCTTGATCAGTTTGCAGATATGACATTCCATTTTCCTTTATGCGACACACAGGTCTGGTTTAAAAATCGCCGGGCCAAGTGGCGGCACCAGAAAAGAGCATCGGCATCGGCACTCCTCCTCCAAGGCTCCAAGAAGTCTCCTGAGGGAAACTGCTGAGAAAGGGCAGTCCGGTCCAGCTGGCCAGCATCGATTTCAGCCATTTAACAGTGGGACAGACCCAGAAAAAGAGAGGCACTGGCAGAGACAGAGAGCAGGAGATAATGACTGGGGTTCTTAGGTGACCCACGAGAGATGGAAGATGCTATTCTCCCCCCTCTGAGTTCACTCCATTGCAAGAAAAATAAATGAACTATAAGTCATGTTTGATCCTCCAGGAGATAAATCCTTTCCGCATAAATAAGCCAAGTGTTTTCAAACTGCATTTTGATTTAGGGCCAGATTGACAAATGAAGGCCGGTGGGGCTTTTTTCAGGCCCAGACAAGGTCCCAGCATGGCCTTTTGCACCCAACTCAAATCATTACATCATCTTTAAAGCTGGGTACCAAATATTTTCAGTATCTACACTCTCTCCCTCTCTAAATTAGAGGCTGACACAGTCGGAATCCATCAGAGGGAGCAATTGCTGGGTCGGTTGCCATTCACCGAACGGCTTCCATGGAAGAGATTAAGTGGTTAGATCCAGCAGGGAGGCTGGCAAAAACTGCTTAGTCACCTGAGAGTAAAGCCAGATCACACACACTAAAAGACAGGGGAATCGTTGGGGTTGTTTTGCAGCATTTCATTTAAAAAACAAGCAAACAAAAAGACCGAGGAGCATGGTTGTGCTGCAGTCAGACAGCAGAGGAATGCACAAAAGTTCCCTCAGTAGTAAGGGGGCATTGTGCCACTCACCATCATTCTCGTCACTGGCAACAGCCAATACACACCTGTGCCCCTGGATGCAGCAAGTAACAGGTGCATTGTCCTCTCATCTGTTTTGTCCTCACAGTAACCTTATGGGGGTAGGTTAGGGCTGAGAGTATGTGATTGGCCCAATGTCACTCAGTAAGCAGAGTGAGAATTCTGTCCTGGGTGTCCCAGATCCTAATCTGACACTCTAACCACTACACAACACTGCCTCTTGGGGGGGTGGGAGGATATAGTTGAATCTATTCTGGCCACCTAAACCTCCCTTCTTGCAGGCAAGAGATAGACGTGCCCGGTTTCCTTGCTGCCATGGGTGGGAATATTGTACAACAATCTATTTGTATCTTGCTTTTACATGTCTGGTGTACCCCTTTGTGTAGCGGTGAGTTCAGCTCATGAACTATTTTCTTTTACAAAGGGTGCAACCAACGTTCCCTCTAATTCTTTTCCCTACTGAACGGAGCAGTTCACATCCTGAGTAGAATATAACCACTGTAATCTTAAAACGGGCAATGGGCAGTGCAAGACCCTGCGCAGCTCCAGATTGCTGCTAAGCGGGATTTCATGAGTTAATGAGACGCCACTGATGTGCACAGCTCAGAGGGAACTGTGGTGCAACCTTAGAAATTGTTTGGTGTCGTGGTTAAGTGCACGGACTCTAATCTGGGAGAACCAGGTTTGATTCCCCACTCCTCCACTTGCACCTGGCTGGATGACCTTGGGCAAGCCATAGTTCTGGCACAGCTGTTCTTGAAAAAGAGCAGTCTCTGTCAGAGCTCTCTCAGCCCCACCTACCTCACAGGGTGTCTGTTGTGGGGAGGGGAAGGGAAAGGAGTTTATAAGCCGCTCTGAGACAACTTTGGAGAGTGAAGGGCGGGGTATAAATCCAATCTCTTCTCTTCTTCTTCATTATTGAGAGTAAATCCCACTGAACTCAGAAGAACTTACTCTTTTTGTGCAGATGATCACACAGCTGCAATTTGATACCTGCGTACTTGGCAATGAGTCCCACTGTAACCAAAAAGACTTCTAAATAAAATTCAAAACCCAGTGGCCAAGCCATTGGGAGAAACAGACAAAAACAAGGTAATAAGAAAAACAAGAACGGCCTGGGTTATTCATTTCCACCTTTCCAATGAATTATCCTGCACAGCACACACACCGAATTAGGAAAATGATCCCCAGTTACTAAGCATATCCTCACACACATAAACAAAGTATTGTTCATGATTCCGAGTAAGGGCTTTTAAAATATTTTTGGTCCTAATTTCTGCATCAAGTGATAGCCGTACGAGCAGTGATAGAGATGACAGGCAGACGTGAAATCACTATCCAAACTACGGCTTCAGAAATTATTTAAAAAGCACCCCCAGACCATATGGATGCAATGCAAAAAAGCTAGGACTGTCTTGCACCTCTCTTTCTGCAACAACTGGTAGGAACATCCGACCCAGGTGGACTGAAGACGGTCTCTTTTATTAAAATATTACATAAAAATATAGGAGCATGGATGTGGAAGCGACTGGGCACTTTTATCCCTATATAAGTGAGTGGGTCTAGAGTTGAGACAAAGAGATCTCTGGCAACTCTACGAGCATTCCCATAGAACAAGACAGGGCGGGATTCAGAACGGGTTAACAACATTCTTGCAACGCAGCCCACTTTTCTTCAATTGCAGAGCAGCGATACAATAACCCAGCATGCAATTCATATAAATCCAATTTAAGCATTCTTTCTATCTGCTCCCCAACCCTCACCTGAGCCCTATAATACTAATGCCGCTTGTCTGAACACGCTACTTCTGGAGGGAAATACATCTCTTGCTCTCCTTTAGCCTCTCCCTGTCTTTATGGTGCTGTTTCGTGACGTAGATCCGAGAACGCTTGCCCTATTACTTTCCACACCCGGAAGACTACCAATCCCACAAGGCTTTGTGCGATCCCGTTTTCCCACGCGCGGTCCCCTGGGGAAGACAGCGACTTACTTCCGGTTTCCGTAGCTTTCGGGAAGCGCAGGCAGGAGGTCGAGCGTAGGCCTCTCTGGCCCGTTGCTAAGGGCGACAGGGGCGCTGGGGTCCAGCTGTGATGGCGGAGACGGGCCCCGCGGGGGGCTCCGCAGCCTCGGCCAAGGCGCTGGTCCCTGTCCAGGCCGAAGCAGGCGCGGTGGTCGTGGCGACGGAGGCTGAGCAGGGGCCCCTCCAACGACGCAAGAGGGTCCTGGATGAAGACAGCTACATCCAGGTGAGTGCGGGGATGCTGGGGTCGGGAAGAGGGGCAAGCGCCCTTGGACTCAGTGTCTCGCGATTCTAAATTCAGGTGGGGAAGCGGCAGAACAAAGTTTGAGTCCAGTGGCACCTTTAAGGCCAACTAAGTTTTATTCAAGGTATAAACTTTCGTGGGCACGCACACTTCTTTAGATACAGTGAAATGGAAATCACCACTTGTCTCCATGGTTGGGAGGAGAAGGATGGAGAGGAATGGCAGGGTCTCAGTTAATTACTCCCAGCATTCCACAGTTAAGGATACATCAAGCTCCGATTTAGACACACAGTTATTTCCTTCACTATGTCCCCGTCCCCCTGGAATTGAACCCAAACAAATGGTTACCACATAAATGAACCTCGTTATTCCTGAATCTGTTAAACATCTTCATTATGCTGCATCCTGATTTACTGCTCACAGTCTATCTATATGCAAGGAGTGGTAATTTCCATTTCATTGTATCTGAGGAAGCGTGTACACAAAATCTCATACCTTGAATAAAACTTTGTGGGTCTTAAAGGTGCAATTCTAAATAAGCCTGCTTAGGGTTGGGCTGTGACACCAACATCCCCTAGGCATTAACTGAAACCTAACTCTTGATATTCCATGGGACTCGATCCATATTAGTTTCACAGTGAGGCAACTGTTGTTGTTTATTACATTTTTATCGTATCCTTTTTCCAAGGAGGCCTGAGGTTTCCCAGTGAGCTTCATTGCTGGGTGGGAATTTGAACCCAAGTCTCCCAGATCCTTGGCTGGCACTGTAACCATGGTGCTGCATTACAGTTGTGGTATGTCAGTCCTGGGAAACAGTAATTTCCATCAGTGGCTATACAAGGTATAGATAGGGACTCTGGGGCAAGGGATGCTCTGTCTCCTTGGTGCTTGGGGGGGGGGGGTCAGCAGTGGGAGGGCTTCTAATGTCCTGGCCCCACTGCTGGATCTCCTGATGGCACCTGGTATTTTTGGCCACTGTGTGACAGAGTGTTGGACTGGATGGGCCTTTGGCCTGATCCAACATTGGCGTCTCTTATGTTCTTATGAAACATTGAAGAGCTCCCTTTTTTTGGGAGCTGGAGCCAACGTACTCAAATAAACAGCGGATAAATACGTGTGCATGTGTATACAAGTGCACACATACAGGGGTGCTGAATGTAATAGCACTTAATGTATTTGGTGATGGAAGTTCTAGCTGTTGAAAAGCTTGGGTCACAAGTTGCTTATTTTATTCCTTAAAGGTGCTCAGAAGTCTCAGTTGTTTCTTTGTCACGCAGCCTTTGTGCTGTGATAGGAAAGCATAGTGACTAACATGGGAGACCCAGGAGGTTTCCCATCCATGCCCTGGCTCTAGGCAGGCCCCCCCTTAACTTCAGCATGGTGGTTGCATGTCATGTTTTCAAACAATGTCTATGAATCAGGAAGTCCCTGTGCCCTGAGCTCCCTAATGTGGCCTCAAGCAAAGCAAATATCTCTCAACCTCCTGCTTTCTACAGTATTAACTGGGAATAGTTTTTGTATGCGGCTGTCAGCATGCACACTACTGCACAGAGTACAAAGTCCCTGCTAAGAGGAGTTTACAGGATTATGTGTAAGAATTACAATGCGTATGGCTGGAGTGGAGAGCATATGATACAGCAGCTTTGCTGAAGATAAATACACCTGGGTGGCATGAGAGAACCCCGTGTATACCGCCCTGAGTTCCATAGTGGAAGACGGGGATGGTATTAGCAAATAAAGATAATGCGTTTGGAGTGTTTTGAACAATCAGAAGTGCAACACCAATTATTATTTTTGATTTTGCTGCATGAGCACACATTTCACAGATGACATTTACAGAATGTGGACTTTTATTGGAATGGTGAATATATAAGCATTTGTGTTAGAAGATGCCTGACTGGGGAAGTTTAAAAAATAAGGCTGCGGTGCACAGCCTACTCAGTCGATGAGAAGTCCAGACTGCATGTGAGCACAGGATTCAGTAGCTGCTCTGAATTTTTCCACCTATCATTGAAGGGAAGGAATGATTGGGAGTGCAGAAGGTGGGAAAGAGGTCAAGTAGATGGCCAGAGCTACTGGCAAAGCTGTTAAGACTATATTTGGAATAGTAGAACAATTTGTGTTTGGGTACTGGGTGAAAAAGGACTGAGTTTCAGGGAAAAGGAGGTTGTAGCTTTGAGTTGATGTGTCAGGGCAGTAGAGGGCTCATAGCTTAGTAGGAAGATGCCATTTCATGACACTTTGTAGGAGGGGCTCTTATGCGGCCCACAAGCAACTAATGCAAGGGAGGTAACAAAAGACTTCTTGGGGGCATGGGTGGAGCCATTGTGATTGTGGCTTCAGCATTGCAGAACTACCTCGTCTGCAGCAGTCAAGCAGAGTGGGAGCGTCTGCTCAGTGCTGCGCTGCTGGGGCTTTGCGGTGAAGATACACCAACTTGGAGCTTAGCAGCTGCTGTCCTTTATACAGTTTGTATCTCTAGTACCCAGCATTACAGTTATGGCTCACATGGCCCGGCCCAACAAAGTGATGTTTACGTCAGATCGGGCCCTCATAAGAAATGAGTTTGACACCTCTGCTTTATAGGATAGTCCGCTGGGTGTTTGTGGCCCACGAGAGTGCAGCAGTTTTCCTTGTTGTGGGTGTTTCTGGTGTTACCTTTATGTAATTGTTACAACAGGTTTGTAATGCAGCAGTTCACAAATTGTGGGGTGGCCCTTCTGAGGGCTTATCTACACACGGCAGAGTCCTAGTGTCATAGCGTTTGCAGACCCCTGCCATCAGCTCCTTTGGTAAAATCATGTCAGCCTCACAGCTGAACCAGTGATAGACCTAGGGAGGGTTTGCAAATGCAAAAACAGCAGGGGGAGAGGCTACAGCTGCTTTCTCCCTGTTTTGGTCACCAGCAGAAAAAAGTGGTTGCATGTCTGATGTAAAGTCCTTGTGTTCTTCCCCAACAAGCACTTGGGTTGCTAGATGCCTGGAGCTAGAGTGGGATGTTCCAGGCATGGAGAGAATCCTTTTGCTGCCAGACCCAGAGGTCCTAGGCCTCCAGCAACAGAGACTGGGTGCTACAGCTACCCCAAACAGCTACACTAACCGTGGAAACTGCAGAGAGACCGAAAAACACAGCATGGGGGCTTTGCTGTCACTTCACCTTTTCCCTCCCCTGCCTCCTTCCCTGATTGGTTTTAGAAGAACAGATGAGAACTCTGCTGTGATCTTTTTTCTAATAAAGAAGTCCGTCTCTTAATCTGCACATCCTTATGGTTGTGTATGTAGCAGCTGTTTGTGAGGGTTCTCTGTGCTTGCTTGCTGATGGCTGCCAGTGGGTTGAGGGAAAATGGATGTATGAGGCTCGTTCAACAGGCCTGACGCAGGCCTGACAAAACTCTAGATAACCCCGTTGTTTGAGGTTGCAAAGCGAGGGCTTCAATGGATAGCCGATAAGCTGAAAAACATTATTGACGCACCTGGAACGTTTTGTTTTCCTCCAGTTGCGCTCCTGTTGGTCCGTGGACGACACAGCGGCTGTGGATTTGACAGGCCTGGATGCGATGGACCGATGCAATTACATCTTCTCTTCTCAGAATCCCGAGTCCCTCAAAATTATGCATTCTTTGTGGAGGCTTTATTTATCTTCTTCAAACATTTTATCCACTAATTATACGTTTGATTTCCCACAGAGCCTGGAGAAAATCATCCAAAGGGATTTCTTTCCTGACGTTGAAAAACTGCGTGCTCAGAAGGAGTATCTGGAGGCGGAAGAAAGTGGAGACTTGGAGAAAATGAGACAGATTGCCATCAAGTTTGGCTCCTCCCTGGGCAGGTCATCCAGAGACACTCCTGCACCATGTAAGGATGTCTTTGGGGCACTTGGGCTATTGGAATCTACGAGATGCACAGCTGACTGTCTTGAAGTGTAAATTCTTACTTTTAGGGTAGGGTAGGGGAGTGGTGGAATACTGGGCACAGGTGAACAACCCCCCCCCCCCCCCTAAAAGGGGAATTTTTGGGGACAGACTAGTCCCACGCCTTGCCTGCAGGACATCCTTAGATGTCATTATTGCATGCTGTGAGTAAGGCCAGTTCCAGGTTTGGGGAGGGGGTTCCTGACAAAATACTGTCCAGTGTACCCCTCCCAGGCTCCACTGTGATGCAGACAGAAGAAGAAGGTAAGCGAGCGGCGGCAGCTTCTCCCTCGCCTTCTGTGTGAACAAGCAGCTGCCACTTGGAGCAGGAGCACACTCTACTTGCCCGTCTGCCTTCTCTCCTTGGCTGGCTCTTAGTGGCTATCAGTGCTTGAACAATGGTCAGCAGCCCCGGCTACCTGGCCTCTGGCACTCAGGAGGAAGAGGAGTCACCACCTCTGGCCGTGGTGATATTCATGCCAAGGGCAGAAGGGGTGGACCAATCCAATGCCAGTACTCCCACTGGTCTGTGAAAGAGGGCAGGCTACAGTCACTGCTGCCGCCCAGTGATCGTCTCTTCCAAAGTTATGGGACCTTGACAGGTACCCAGGATGTCTGTCCCTGATACTGGCACTGCTCTGGTAATATTTGCCACTGGCTTGCCTTAGAAATCCTGTAATATTGGCAGGTCTCTCCTCACCATCTGAAAGCATCTGGGAGCAGGGTAGTCATTTGACATGGTCAGCATTAAAAAAAAAGACATGTTCTGAACTGTGCAAACCTTCCCCCCCCCCCTCTGAGCAGATGTTACACCAGCCACATTTGAAACGCCCGAGGTTCATCCTGGTGCATCCTCCTTATTGAACAAACAGAAGCCTTCACTGAAGACTCCAGATGAAGGTAATGAATGCCAGTTCTGGCTGAGTTGTTGAGAGCATTGCCGTTGTTTGGTTTCACCTTTCGGGAGCATATGAAGTGATTCTGCCCGGCAACTGAAATCCAGAGGGGCCATTGCTCAATGGTAGAGCAGTGCTTAGCACACAGAAATCCCTATGTTCAGTTCCAATTCAGTGGATCTTGGCAGGTTAGGAAAGACCTCTCAGCTGGGGTCCTGGGAGAGATGCTGCCACACAGATTAAATCGCATTGGGCTGGGTGGACCAGTTGTCCGGCTCAGGACCCTGCACCTTCATATTCTATTGTCTATTTTTTCTCCTCACGGAGAGAGACCATAGATCAGTGGTGGAATGCATCCTTTGCATTTAGCGAGTCCAGGCCTCAGCATTTTGTGTTGAAAGGATCGCTGGTAGTAGTGCCAGGAAGGACCTGTTTGTGAACCGTACCTGCTGATGAGACTCAGTGGAGTGAATTAATCCTTCATTGTTTTGTGGTGGGGCTGTAAGTGGATCGTCGGTTCCTGACAGGGCGGTCCCAGGCAGAGTCATACCCTTCAAAGTTCATTGAAGTCAGTGAACTTAGAAATGTGTAAGTCTGCTCAGTTAAGTTGCCTATACTTCTTTAGTAATTCTTTTGGTTTCAGTGAAATAGCCTCTGTTTTCTTTTTCCTTCCTAGGAGTGGTTTTTGATCTCTGCACAGAAAGAGGGTGGGGAACTATCCCAGGTGATCCCTGGTCCCAGAGATGTCCGGCTGTCCTCAACCAAGGCCAGGGTCTTTTCAGCCCTGGCCCCGACCTGGTGGAACGCTCTGCCTAATCCCACCAGGGCCCTGCGGGAACTTATGCAATTCCGCGGGGCTTGCGAGGCAGAGATGTTCCGCCAGGCTTTTGGTTGAGGACAACAACGGTTCTCTCTCGTGGCCGGCACCCTCTCCCTCTCCTTTCCCCCTTCCCCTAAATTCTGATCCCGTGTTTCCTCTCCTCCTGCCCAGAAAACGGCCCGGCAGTCCAGAGCTGGGATGAAATTTTAAGGACGCCATCTGGAACTCTTTTAGTCTGGTTTTTAAATTTGTCATTCTAATTTTGTTAGACCTGAATTTTTAATGTGTTGTATATTTAATCAGTGGCTTGGTGCTTCTGCTGTACATCACCCAGAGCCCGGCGCAAGCTGGGATGGACTGATTAATAAATCAAATAAGTAGTAAGACTATCTGCCACATCAATACGTTGAGCTGTTTTTTCATTATCTATCTCAGGCTATAAAGTCCTGCATAGGTACGTGGGTCAGGTGTCATGTATATTGGTGTTGATATATATAATCGGGGACGCACCTACCATAGCTACTCAGAGCTAAGCACAGTTTTGTGTTCAAGCAAGAGCTTGGCAGCTCTCTCCCACTTCACAACATTTGCATTCCGAGACTGTATACGGCACTAATGCATCACCGCTCAAAGCAGCTTATTTATTTTTAAGGGTGCACTCAGGAAACAGAAGGATTAGGATTGGTGAGGAAACAGGGAACATACAAGTTGGCTCTTGAAAGATCCTGCTGTGTTAGAATTCAGGAGCACTCGCTCATCTTGGACATGTGCAAAATTGTCACATTTCAGGATTTCCAATTTGTGGCTGCTCACTTGGTTAGGCTCAAGACTTAGATTCTAAGGTACTTGGTTCAAGCCCTTTTCTTCCCTGAAAATGTGGAACACTTTGAAGGAGATGCAGACAGCTGTTGCCTGTTCCCTTTGCTGCTTCTCCACTTTTATCACAGTCAAGTGACAGATGTGATGGAGCATGAATGCAATGAAGACCTGGCTGTCAGGGAAAGGCTACGGGGCAGTGGTTGAGTACCTGCTTTGCATGTAGGAGCGGCAAAGTTGTATCTGTGGCATTGCCTATAATAATCCAGCTATGGGAGGGGCTATGGTTCAGGGGAAGAGCATCTGCTTGGCATACAGAAGGTCCCAGGTTCAATCCTAGGCATCTTCAGTTAAAAGGATCAGACTGTAGGTGATGTGATAGACTTCTGCCTGAGACCTCAGAGAGCCACTGCGAATCTGAGTAGACAGTAGTGAGTTTGATGGGCCAAGGGTTTGACTCCGTGTAAGCCAGTTTTATGTGTTCTCAAAAAATTCTGCTAAGTGTGAATAGACAATAGTGAGTCTGAGTTTTGTATATGGCCGCTTCATATGTTCTTACAGAAGCAGGGAAAGGCTGTAGCTTTGTGCCAAAATGCATGACTTAACATGCAGAAAACCCAAATTGAGTCCCTAGCATTTCTTCTTAACGGGTCTCCGGTATAAACAGGGAAGAGATCTTTCTCTGCCTGCAATCTTGGAGAGTGTCCCTGCCAAGGGAAGCTAGGTAAAAAGGTAAAGGTTCCCTTGCTCGAAAGCCAGTTGAATCTGACTCTACCGTTGCGGTGCTCATCTCCGTTTCAAAGCCGAAGAGCCAGCGCTGTCCGAAGATGTTTCCGTAGTCATGTGGCCGGCATGACTAAACACCAAGGCGCACGGAACGCTGTTACCTTCCCACCAAAGTGGTCCCTATTTATCTACTTGCAATTTCTTGCTTTCAAACTGCTAGGTTGGCAGGAGCTGGAACTAGAGTCAGGAGCTCACTCCGTCATGTGGCAACCCGGGTCTTGAACTGCCGAACTACTGACCTTCCACAGCCTGCAGTTCAGCATCTTAACCACTTGAGCCACCGCAGCTCCTAGTGAAGCTACTGTTGAGCTAAATGGATCAGTCATCTGAACTGATATAAAACTGTATTCTTTCTAATACGTTCCTACTCTGGGATAGAGGTGGGCTACAAACAGGCAAAACACATAAACGGCCACAAAGCTTGGCAGACGTAATTTATCTGAGTTTGTTCTTAATTCTTTGTATTTCACAAATAGATTTTCAGGTTTGAGCCACAGGATGTTATAAATTCTTGGCAGTGAACATCTCCATAAATATAATGGGAGTTCACAGTTTCACCGGAGTGCTTTGGGGGCCCAGCACACCCCAGCCACGCCATAGCAGATCCCATCATCACCTGCTCTATTTTTAGTTCCTGTTCAGCAACTTCTGGCGAAGCTCGTTTGAAGGCTCATTAAGACACTCCTTTGAAAACCTTTTGAAGTTGCGTGGGGTAGCACTTTCTGGGGTTTTTTTCTTTTTCCTGAGCTGCCTCCCTCTTTTCCCTGCAGAAGAAACAGAGGACAAAGAGAGCAGAGATGCTCTCCCCTGCCTGGACAGCTTCTTGGCCAAGCACACCAGTGAGGATAATGCTTCGTTTGAGCAAATCATGGAAACAGCCGAAGAAAAGGAGAAAGCCCGACACTCGTGGCTCTATGAAGCAGAGGAAGAGTTTGCCCAGGTAAGGGCGGAGATCCAGTATTTCCGGGACCTTTTAAAGATGTCCCCCAAGCAGGAGGTTTAGTTTGAGTTGCTCTTTGAAGGGGGAGGAAGGAAGGGAATGTTTGTTGAAAGCACTCACACCCGCTGCCAAAATGGCACTCGCGCTTATGTCAAGGACTACGTAAGACCCTGTGAGCTGGCTCCTTTGAGTCCATTCCACTAACAGCTGTGCTTTATTCTAAGCAGAAGGAGTTTCTCACAGCACTTCAAGGAGTCATTTGTGCTCCCCAAAACCTGCAAAAGGAGTTTAGAAAACTAGTAAAGGGCCAAAAGTTGAAAACATCAGTGGGTATAGACAAAAGTATTCTGTACTGTGTGACCTCTGAAGAAGGCTCTTGTGGGCCGAAACACGTCAGATCATATATGCTTTTGGGGGGCATTTGTCACTTTGATTATTTCATGAGGCTTTATTTGGGCCCCTACAAGGTTTTTATATGTTTTTGAAATAAACACGTGTACTTTTGTCTATAGCTATTGATGTTTTTAACTTTTGGCTTTTTACTAGTTTTCTAAACTTCCTTTGGAGGTTTTTGCTTGCTTGGTTTAGTCTTTCTTCCCCTTTCTTTGTGGGATCATTTGTGCTGCCACCGTTAGTGGAATAAAGTCCAGGGATCCAACCCAATGTAGAAGAGAACTAAATTGCCAGTATGACTATTCAACATAGGTGATATTAAAACAGTGGTACTGATAGCCTAAAAACCCCAAAGCAGTAAAAATATTAGATGGACTGTAAGCAGCGTCAGTGTAAAGGCCAAAGTACTTATGAGGTTCAAAAGCTAGCCAAAATGCAAAACTAACATGAAGCATGTTTTGATTTTTTTTAAAAAAGTCTTAGTCTGACGCAGAATCCTTATCAGGCTTGCCACCAGCTGGAAGTTATCCCACAGCAGAGAAAGCCCAGGATGTAGTGGGCACTCATTGGCATGCTGAGACACAACAGAGCAGGGCCCCTGAAGATGATCTCAGGGATATTTCTATGTATCCTTCCCCTTAAGAGGAGGGGCTGTTAGGTTCCGGTCCCTTGTGTCCTGCTACAGCTGGAGAGCAGGTATTCCCTGCATCATCAGCAGCAGCGTCAAATTAATAAAGACGCTGGAAAATGTGTTGTTGTTTCTGTGCTTCCGCTTCTTTCAGCGTCACCAGGAGCAGCTGGCTCTTCCATCGGCTGCAGAGCAACAGGCCCTCGGGAGCGGGAAAGCCGGCGTGGAGACGTGGGAATATAAGGCGAAGAATTCCCTGATGTATTACCCTCCAGGTAAAGCTGGTAGCATCAGAAGCATCACCGACCAGAGCAGACATTTTGATATACTAAGTAATCGTCCAAAGATATGTTCTGAAGACGTGTGTGGTAGGCACTGTGCTGAAGCTAAGCAGGTCTGGGTTTAGGGACAGCCGCAACATCACCCAGTGTGGTTATGTAATGCCCAGGTCTTTGGGCAGATAAGACATCGCATCTGTCGCCAGACATCATTTCTGGCCTGGGCCTGCCCCAGAAAACTCCCAGGGGTGCCGGGTCACAGACTGGCATCCTTGCGTATGATGCTCATACCCAATGTATGTTTAAGTGGCTTATGAGGCTTGCCTCTCTAGTGCTTTTATACCATGCGGTAATATAGAGAGCCTGGCTTCTAGGGTTTTAACTCCTTAGTGTCATGGGCGTTCAGTATATTTTCTACTCGCAGTAAGTATTCTGGAGTAGGAAGTGGCCCCAATCAGTAAATCCCATTAGTACCATGAACACTTATCAATGATATGGATTCCTTTACGATTGGTTTGGTCACAGAATTTGCCTCCGCCCATGAAAAAACGTCCAGTAAGACTTGCTATTATGTTTGCTAGGTAAATAATTGATTTAACCCAAACCATCTTTTTTTTTTTGCCATTAAGTCCTAGCCGACTTATGGCAACTCTTTGGGGTTTTCTAGGCAAGAGTCGTTCAGAGGCGATTTGCTGTTACCTGCCTCTGCCTTGCAACCTTGGACTTCCTTGGTGGTCTCCCATCCAAAAACGGCCAGCCCTGCTTAGCTGCAGAGTTCGGACGAGATCAGGCTAACCTGGCCTATCCAAGTCAGGGCCAAAGGGTCATAACACGGGACAAACCAGAATCCATAAAGAATGTGATTTAAAAGAGAATGCAAACGGATAAAAGTAAAAAGCTCTGCAGGCTAAAACTGATTCTAAACCTAGCCCCTCTTTATAATTCAGAATTTACAATGATACAAGTCCAGACCAGATTTTAGTGTCCGAAAGAACACACAATCTCATCTTTAAGTCAGGCTGTACTATAAATTCCAATCTGGACATAAACAAGTTTATATCTAATTGTTCAGTGATGTGTCTGGTACAAAAAAATGTCTTGCTTTCCTCCTGTAAATACTGTTTGAGGGAGGCAGTGCTAGTGATGTACGTCTTCATGAAAGCATGGCCAGATGTGAAGTATTCATTTATTTATATGGAAGAGTTCTGCTGGATCAGTTCAAATTTCCATTTGAGCTAGCCTCCTGTGTCCTAAAGTGGCCAAAGAGGTCTCCAGGAAGCCCACAAGCAGGGCATGAAGGAAATAGGCCTTCTGTGCTGTTTTGCCTCACAGCATCTGATACGCAGAGGTAGACTGCCTCTGAGCATGCAAGTTCCACTGAACTCTTCTTGACACCAACCTTTGATGGCAGCTGTCCTGTGTAAATTTGCCTAGTCCCCTTTTAAAGCCATCTTACATAGTGGCCTCTGACCTAGGTAGCCCAAACTTGTCAGATCTTGGAAGCTAAGCAGGGTTGGTCCTGCTTAGTATTTGGGTGGGAGGCCCCTAAGGAATGCCAGGGCTGTGATGCAGAGGAAGGCAATGGCAAACCACCTCTGGATATCTCTTACCTTGAAAACCCTGTGGGTTCGCCATAAGCTGTCTGCAACTTGACTGCATTGTCCACCACCACCACCAACACCGAGCTAGTGGCAGGTGCCACATCTTTTGGCAATGAATTTTACAATGTAAATGTGTGAAGAAGCATTTCCTTGTGCCTCTGTCTGCCAGCGACTTTAATTTGGTGACTCTCCAGATTCTAGAGTTTGGGTGTGTGTGTGTGTGTATAATGTTGTAAGTTGATAGTTTTATTAATGTAACCCACCATGGGTCTCACGCTTCTCCTCTGCTCCTCATGGTGCTTTCCCCATCTTGTGGCAGAGCAAGTCTCCTTACACTGTGGGAAAGCACCACTGTCAGTGGAACAGACTCACGGGATCCAGCCCTGCATATATTTAAAAGCGGCAAGACCCCTGCCTGCCTCTTTCTCTAATGGCTGATGTTGCTTTTGTAGGCGTCCCCGATGAAGAGGAGATGTTTAAAAAGCCCCGGGAAGTCGTCCACCGGAACACCCGCTTCCTGAAGGATCCGTTCAGCCAGGCCGTGAGCAAATCCCAGCTCCAGCAGGCAGCGGCGCTCAATGCTCAGGTTGGTGAATAAACCAAATCACTGTTTGTCATGGTTTTTTTGTCATACTTCCCAGTCTTTCCCAGTCTTTAAATGGATTTTATATGTATGTAGATAAATAATCGGATCAATGTGTTGTGTGCCTTTACAAAAATAGGGGTGTTTTCTCAGAAGAGAGAGAGTCCCACAGCTTAAGGGCCCTACTCTTTTTTTTTTTGTATTTTTAATTTGTGTGTGTATGCCTATGCCTGGAAGACATGGTGACCCCTGGTGACTCATACTGGGGCATGGAGGATGTTCCAAGAAGGGGCTTGTTAGTCTGTCTCTGCCTCCTGGCCCTGGTATTCCTTGGAGGTCTTCCATTCAAACACTTGCCAGGTTTGGCCCTGCTTAGCTTCCGAGATATGGCGAGATCGGGCTTCCCTGGGCTGTCCAGGTCAGGGCAAGGGCCCGACTCTGTTTGTCACCCAGGTCCCCCTGAGTGAGCTTTTGACAGACAGGAAGTTCATGATAGGGAAGACCCAGGTTCGAATCCCAGCTCAGACCACTGGGCTCACCTTGAATCAGTCACTTTTCACCTAAGCTACCTCACAGGGGTGTTGTGAGTGGGGGAATTATGCCATTGTTGTAGTCACCGCGAGCTGCTTGGAGGAAGGGTGGCGTATAAATTCTCACAACAGCCTCATTAGGTTGAGGGTCAGCTGCAGATCCAAGTTGAACTTTCTGGCCCAAATTGGAGTTCTGACCCAGGTTTCCCTAGTCGGGGTCCAGCATTCCCCTAAGCTCTCTGTCTTGGGTTTTTGCTACTTTCATTTTCATTGGTAGCTTATTTTTGATGGCAGACATGGGCCCCGGTCACAGTTTGTGTGTGTGTGTGGGGGGCGTGGCTAATTGCCCCAGCGCAGTTTGATCCACGATTACGCGATCAGACGCGCCGGCGGCACACCATGGGTCCTTCCCTCAGTGCCGGCGGGTAAACGAGGGACCGGAGGGGAATGCCGCGCACCGGCGCGATCACACCACTGGCGTCCAGAGGCAGTCCGTGGCAAACGTTTACTAGTACCTTGGAGGTACTAGTTTTTTTACGCGCATTGTCGGTGGTAAGCCACGGGTGCGCTCCACTTCCCAGATGTTGGGGTGTGATCGCGCCCGGATAATCCGCCCACCATCCATGGCTCTTCTGCGGCAACTTTGCCGTGTGACCGGGGCCCTGGTGTTTTAGACGGGGTTTGGTTTAGTGGGCATCTGTTTGTTGCTGCAGCAAAGACATATTACCCTCCCCCTGCTGCCAACAATGCATATTTTAAAATATAATATATAGCAGATTCATCATCTGCCTCAGAGAAACATGAGGATCAGTTAGAGGAGGACTGAAGATTCGTATTCCTCCTGTTTTTAAATGCTGCGTACATGATGACTAACTAATATTCCATTAATCCAGTACAAACAGGGCAAAGTAGGGCCGGATGGGAAGGAGCTCATTCCACAAGAATCTCCAAAGGTTAACGGATATGGATTTGTGGCTACACCCTCGCCTGCTCCTGGTAAGAAACCGCAGGTCGCGTTGCAGAAATAAATTGCTCTGCGCTGCATATTTCATTAGCAAATATAGCCCAATCCATAACCCCGTGCACCCTGAGAAAACTGGAGAGATGAATTTTACAAATGTTGTAGTTAAAAAAAAAAAAATGTGCTGTATCTTGAGGACTGGAAGCTACCTGAACAATTGGTGAAGCAGGATAGGCGCTTCCAAATCAATACCTAAATGGGAAGGCAAAGGCATGCTAACATCCCGTTGAAACCAGGATGGGGTTGTGCATCGAACAGATTTTGCCATTTGTATCTACCTGAACTGTAGCTTCACTGCTCTGAGCAACTTGGACCGTTGGGATGCTTTGGCAAAGAGCATGCTCTGGGCCTGTTTCATTAGACTCACACATGAAACTGTTTCCACAGGTGTGAATGAATCGCCTCTGATGACGTGGGGTGAGATAGAAAGCACCCCTTTGCGACTGGAAGGCTCAGATACGCCATATGTGGACAGGACTCCTGGACCGGCCTTCAAGGTATTTAAAGAGGCAGCATCGGAAAGTCTGGTGTTCATGATAGAGCAGCACCATGCACACTGGGGGAGACTTGTGGGAGAAGCTCAAGGAAGATGGCAGATCTGGCCAGTAGCCTACTACTCTGGAATTTGAGCTGTCTGTCTTATATGTCCATCCAGGAGTGAATCAAGGGTATTTTTACCCTGCTTTCCCCCCCAGTGGGGAATCCTGAACAACTTACAAACTACAAAATGAACAGGGGGAAAAAAACCACGTCCCTGGGCTATTCCTTGGCAATATGATTTATCTGCTAGTCCTGCTCACTGTAGGCCTCAGGTGACAAGCCGTGGGCTAAAGGGCCAAGTGCTGAGAGTCCTTTGGCTCATGCTGCTGGCCATGTTCACACTAAATACCTGGAAGCAGAGGTGGAACAGAAGCTCTGCCCATATTTAGTTGCTATCCAGATGGTCCCCACCTTCCTCTCCTGCTAGAAATGCCTCTGGGCACACCCAGGCCAGCTGAGACTATGTAAGGAATCCAATTGTACTACTTAGCCAAGGGGAGGCAACATGCCTGTCCTCCCACAGCATCCACTTCATTGGTGACAAGCGGTTTTGCAACCAGCTTGGATCTTGTTCCTCCCGAGATCTTTCTTTGCAGTTTCCCATTGGCCACAGCTGGGAAATCTGAATGCAGAAGCTGGCACGAGCTTCATAGTTTGTGCAGCATGGCTGTTTTTTGCAGTAAACGTGTAGAATTGTAAGCAGGGTGCATTGCAGGTATGCAGTGGATGCATGGAGAGGAGAATCTGTAGCTGTTTTGGCTGTCAAGCATGCGCTTTGTCTTTGGAGATGCACCCTTATACTTGTGCTGTCAGCTATCTATTTTACTAAAAATACTATTATCCATTCTTTTCCATGGCACAGGCTACAAAGTGTCTGGCACTTTTAAAATATAAGTCAGATTTTTTTTTAAAAAAAACCATTAATATAATCCAAATAAAGAGCAGCAAACCAATATAAACAGTAGCAGCAAGACCCAGAGCTACTTATCAAACACTGTCTTGAAATGAGCGTTGCCCTAGAAATGTCAATGGCTTTTGTAGCACAAGGGGAAGATCCCTCTTTGTTAAGGTGCTGGTAACTCAGCTGGTTGGTGTCTCTGCAGATCCTGGAGCCCGGCCGCAGAGAGAGGCTTGGGCTGAAGATGGCCAACGAGGCAGCTGCCAAAAACCGAGCAAAAAAGCAGGAAGCTTTAAGGAGAGTTACGGAAAATCTTGCCAGGTGAGAGTCAAGTGCTAGAGACAGAGCGAAATAACGGCTGGCTTTGATATTTCCAAATGGGAGGCAGCAGTTGATCTTTCACCATGGCGTGCCCTGCTGCTGCCACAAACCTTTCTGCATCAAGCATTGTTCAATCTAATTCAAGCCTGCATTAAAAAAACCCTCCTTTTCTATTTTAGGGCAATTAGACGTGGCAGAGTTCATCATGTACATTGGCATCTTTTTCCCTTTTCCCTCCTCTCTCCCTCTTCCCTCTCTTGTGTGTATGTGTGCATTTCTCTCTTTTTTGCTTAACATCCATCCAGAGAAGATTTCCAGTGTCACTGGTTTGTCATATTTTAGTTGACCTTAATACAGACATTGTGCTGTTCTTGGTTTTGGATCTTGGCACGTACCCACTGTTGGACAAATGTGCATATGATGGGCAGGGCAAGCATATCTGTTTCTGGTGCCCTGCACACCAGCATGTTATATATATATATAGGGGTTCAACACCTAGGGGCTTGTAGTTCAGATGTGCACTGTGTGGTGCACCCATGGTTTTTGTTACTATGATGATATACATTCCCAATATATTATGCTGATTTTAATAAATTCCCCGGGAAGATAAGGATAATTCTACACCTTCCCTCCTTCTTTCAGAATCAAGAAATAATTCATAATGTAGCAAAATTGTGTATAACAGCATGTGCAGTATAAAAACAGATGGTTAAGTCTTCAAATGACTAACCCCCTCAGTCGTGAAATGTGTGCAAGAACTTTGGAAAGTTGGATTATAATGACAAGTACAAGTCCTTTTTGTCAGTATTGTACGTGGCAGTTTTTACTGTTTTCCTTAATACCTTTTGGGCTGATCTTGTATCGTCATAAACTGAACTGTGTCCACGTTTGGGAAAATGTGCAGAGATTAGGACAGCTTAGTTCTGTCCCCTCTCTGCCTGCACTGTCCCACCTGCAAGGATGTGAGCCTATGAGGAGGTCATGTTTACCCTGCCCTTCCCCAAATAACCCAAAACCAGATTTTCCTTCTCAAGACAGCTTCCTGTGTGTTCTTTTCCAGCCTGACTCCCAAAGGACTGAGCCCAGTCATGTCTCCAGCCCTGCAGCGCTTAGTAAACAGGACTGCCAGCAAATATACCGACAAGGCTCTGCGAGCCAGCTACACCCCGTCCCCTGCACACCTTGGCACGCCCGGCTACAAGACCCCGGCAGGTGGGCCCCAGACGCCCACCACCACCACCCCGACTCCCCGGACGGTATCTCAGACTCCAGTAACCCAGGATCCCGCTTCAATTACGGACAATCTCCTGCAGCTCCCGAAAAGGCGCAAAGCATCAGACTTTTTCTGAGGGACGCTCTTTATTTCTCGGTTCCCTGCATAGCTGAATATATGCCGGGCTTTGTGGTGAAGCCCGAACAGTACTGGTGGCAAGCGGCGGGAGGCCCTGATACTTTGCTCCAGCGCTCTCAAGATGCAAGAGCGGAATTAAGCCTGTGACCGTTCAGCTGGGCAGGAAAACGTCCTCTTGTGCTGCTTTGCACCAATTTCACACGGTATCCGAGAGAGAGAGAGAGAGAGAGAGAGGAAAATGCACAGGAGGCGTGAACTCTTTTTTCATACGTTTTTGTAGATTTTTGTTTTTCCAAGGGCAGCTTTGGGTGCCTCAGATTTCTGTCTGGATAAGTGTGTCTATTTATTACTTACAGAATGCCTTTGAATAAAGGTCTGAATCTGGTCTTGACCTAGAAGGTTTGCCTATGGCTCTAGGCTTCCCTGAAGAGGCAAAACACTTTGTGGGGTATACTTTTCCCTGTTTTGAAAATATTAAGGGGCTGGGCTGGTCGTGGATGCAATGAAGGTACATAAAATTATACATGGTCTAAAGTGGGGTCTCCAACGTTTTCCAGTTCTTGGGCACCTTTGGAATTCTGCCACAGTGTGGTGGGCACAAGGACAAAATGGCTGGCAGAAAATAGTTTGCTGCAAGAAGCGAAATGTCTGTCACAGCTTACGTTCAGGCACACAATGAAGATCCTCATGTTGTGGTGGCAGCTGCTGCCAAAGCAGCATTTTTAGAAATCTGCACACAGTCTGAAGCCCTGCTGGCCACACCCACTTTCTAGAAACTTGGCGGGCACCAGGAAAGGTCTTGGCAGGCGCCGTAGCTCCCACAAGCACCATGTTGGGGACCCCTGATCCAGAGAAAGGGCATCAGGAGAGATCTCACCACCACCACCACAATGCTAAGAGTAACCCAAAGAAACTGATTGGCTGTGTGGGTACAGGGTAGGGAAACAAATGTGCTTCATGGAAGGCACCACTAAATTAGAGAGTTCACTGCTAATAAGATGTGGTGCTTGACCACTGAGAGCCAGTTTGGTGTTGTGGTTGAGAGTGGCGGACTCTAATCTGGAGAACCGGGTTTGATTCCCCACTCCTCCACATGAAGCCAGCTTGGGTGACTTTGGGTCAGTCACAGTTTCCTCAGAGTTTTTTCAGCCCCACCTGCCTCACAGGTTGTCTGTTGGGGGGAGAGGAAGGGCAGGCGATCGTAAGCCACTCTGAGACTTCTTCGGGTAGTGGAGGGCGGGGTATAAAACCAACTCTTCTTCTTCTTTTAGGTTACTTTTGCAAAGGATTTGATATGTTAATGGAGGAAATATTAATCATGATTGCTAAGTAGGGCTTTCATGTTCATTGACAGTGTACCCCTGAATACCAGGTACAGGCAGGGAGTGGGAGAAGGCAAAGAGGCGGGGAGGGCTGTTGCTTTTATGTCTGGTTTGTGCACTTCCCGAAACATCTAGCTAGACACACTACAAAAAAGGGATGCTGGATTAAGTGGACTTTTGTCCTGAGCCATCAACCACGATGGTTAAAGCATGACATGCAACTTTATATCCAAGCCAAACAGAATGGAGAATGTTTTGCTGTGTGCAAATATTTTATTATACTGAAGCCTCTCCTTTCCTGCATTGTGGAATTCAGGCGACACACGTGGGAGTTCCCAAGAGATCTCCCATCTGACCAGAGCCGGACTTGCTCAGCTTCAGCAAGCCAGCTGCGTCACGTGCTCTCGGGTCATATCCTGCGTCCTTAACCTTCAGTCCGTTCCTCAATGCTTTTGGGTGCCGTATATTATGGTGATGTGTGTGTAAGATCTTGGTAGGAGGCAGGATGCTGATCTATGCAAAACGCACAATGATTGCTGATTAAAGAAGAGTTTTTACATCCCTGGAGAATTGTTTTACACTTGAATAGCAAGCCCGTATGTTGTTTTCCTGGTCATAGGTGGTGGTGGTGGGGGCCCCGGAATCTCCTCTGACCAACCAGGCAGGGAAAGCTTGGTAAACAGAAAGGTTTCATTCTCTTTTGTCTACTTGATATGCTGCCCATGACTTCCAGAAGTCTCTGCACACTGGTGGGCAAGTAAAAAATTAGGTGATTCGAACAGCCTGTTTGTGTTGGGGTTGGTTTAGGTGGTCTTCCCCTTTACTCACAGACTCAGTACCAGGATTAAATTTTTCAATTTAGGAAAGGCCTTGCTGGAAAGTGAGGGCAAAGCTGAGCAGGTGAAACAGTCATCTTAAAGGCAAAATTCCAGTTTGTTTCATAGATATTTGGGGTGAATATATTTAGTACTTGCATCTCTTAAGAAGACATAGGTGCTGTTCCCACACCGTGGCTCAGCTCAGAAATAATGCAGGACCAGGCCTTGAAAAATTTTCTTTGGCTCTAGGAGTCAGCCGAAACATTTAGGAGCTTGACTCGTTTTTCAGCCTTCAACGTTTTGTAGTTTAATGACCATATTTTCTACTTATTGCTGCTACAAAACCAAATCCTAACCTTCAGTTTCTTGTAATTTTATAAAAGGTATGACAAACTGTTACGTATAAATTAATACGGGAGTAACCCTGGTTTTCATCGCAAACAAAAAGCTAGCCTTAACCTAACTTCTCTCCAACTTCTCATAATCCCTTCATTGTTTTAAAATGTTCCATTTAATTGAATATTAGAGTCAGTATCGAAAGTAACTGGTTAAGAAATGGATTCATCTACCACCATCACATGCTGTACAATTAAGCTTACCCATAAACAAGCAGTGACAAGAACTTTGTACACATTTGTTTCTTATGTCACAAAGCAAAACTTTCTGTTGTGAAATAAGAAGCTTTGGGTTGGAGCCAATCAGCTTTTCTTGCTCGATCTCTACCAATTCCCCTCATTACTATTGGGTTAAATGTAAAAAAAAAAAATCAATTGCCTTGGAAGCACAGGAGTTTTGCGTAGTATCCCCAGTCCTCCATGTTTCCTGGTTAAGGGGAAAATGCTGTTCAAATTACAAAGATGATCCAACTCCCATGGTAACAAGAGAAAGAAATTTTACTTACAAAAATAGAAGCATGTCTTATATGACATATTCATGTAAATACATTTAACTTATTGTGAACAAATTCACTTCAAAAAGGTTAACTTGGTACAGCTCCACTCCCAGGTAAGAGAGACAAGAAGAGAGGTCCTATTCAAGGTGAAACAGAAGACAACCAAGGGCCAAAGAGGCTCAGCATCTAACCTGTGGGGGGGGGGCAACTGCCAAGTGTACCTGAGTGAGAGAGTTCTCTTAACCCTTTCCCTTTCAGATCTCTTTGCACGCAGAGTTACAGTATCCAATAATTACAGCTCCTCCTCTTCCCTTTTACACCAGCGGAAAGACTGGTTGGATCCACCTCGTTGTACTTCCACTGAGAATTGCTGAGAGACTCTACAAGAAAACGTCTGACATGATTTGTTGAGCTGTAATGTAAGTAAGTAAATAGTTTATTGCGGTCAAAGACCATAATACAGCAAATATAATGTGAAATGATGTTTATATGTGTAACTGGTTTGTGAACCCAGGATTTGGTTTGCAGACAATCATTCAAATCCTGGTTTGCATTGACAGATGCTGATTTTCTTGTTCTTAATGGGCCCATATTGCGCTTACGTGATCCCAGAAAACAAGCCAGGGCGTTTGCGTTTCTATGATGTGAAACAATAGGTAAGGCCGGTCAATAAACCAATTTCAAACTGAGATTACATATACTGACTTCTTGTACCCTGGTTAGCCGTGGTGACTGTCTCACATTCAGACAGTCACAAAGTCATAGTGCAATGAAACCATAATTTTGCATGGTGCCTGGATTCAGCTTATGTTGCATGAGTCCCCCGCGCCCTTCCATTGGCTCTTATGGGATCAAATTTTGTCCACATTCTAACTGTGGTCAGTTGGATGTCTCCGAGAAAGTTCACTGGCAGGCAAGATGGGGAAGAAGTGAATGTGTCCCGTTTGTGCCCACTTCCAGCAGCAACGGTTCTGTGGTTGAGCCTCTGAATGGGGTGCTTCCATGTTTAAGCTATTGTGGGTTAATGAATACTGATAGTGCCATGAATTCATCGAATGCTTTATAACAAAGCTAATAAATCCCGTTAGGCCAAACCTTCTAGCTTTTAGCCGTGGCCCCAGCCAGATGCCCCCAAGAAAGCCACAAGCAGCCTCCTCCTATTGTCTGTCTGCAGCACTCAGAGGTATACTACTGCCTTTCAACGTGGCAGTTCAATTTTAATTAAAATAGTTCATTCCCATGAGAAGGAATAAAGGTAAAGGTAAAGGTTCCCTTGCTCGAAAGCCAGTCGAATCCGACTCTAGGGTTGCAGTGCTCATCTCCATTTTAAAGCCGAAGAGCCAGCGCTGTCCGAAGACGTTTCCGTGGTCATGTGGCCGCACGGAACGCTGTTACCTTCCCACCGAAGTGGTCCCTATTTATCTACTTGCAATTTCTTCCTTTCGAACTGCTAGGTTGGCTGGAGCTGGAACAAGAGACGGGAGCTCACTCCGTCATGCGGCACCCCTGGGACTCGAATTGCTGAACTACTGACCTTCCATAGCCTGCAGTTCAGCGTCTTAACCACTTGAGCCACCGCAGCTCCTTATGAGAAGGAATACCCCGGCTGAAATTGTCTACTCCACTTCAAAAGCTGTTTGTTGCTGCTAGATCTGACACCACTGAGTGAGGGAGTGGCTAATGGTATTTTGTGACCTCCCACCGGCCCCCTCCCCAGAAGTAAGGGTTATTTATTCAGGAAAGCAACATGCAATCAATCTCTGCGACCCCTATTTATGCAAACAAGCCGTAATTTTTTAAAGATAAATAACAGGCACGTGTCTCAGTTTAGACATAATGTATTGTTACGTAAGCGGTAAGGCAATGGCATAATACTTTTCTCTGTTCTCAATCATAGAGGTTTCGGAGAGCGCTAGGAAGAAATGGGGGGGGTGGAGATGTAATTTATGAAGCCTTTCCAACCTCTCTCTCAGAACTGCTGCTGCTTACATTCTTCCTGGTTGGTTTTCAAAATGACACACAAAGAAGACCCATAACTTCCCATAAGCTTTTCCGCAGCAGAGGCATGCCTGTTAAAAAAAAATACTCCATAGGAACAGCCGTCTGTGAGCAGGAGCTGAATCTTTGTGCCAAATCCAC